GCACAAAATAGCAAAATTAACACAGATGTGGGCTAGCTAAAAAACACAGGCTATTATACTATTTAAATATTAAATATTTGTTATGAGTTTACAACATATACGTTTCCACTAATATAATTAATTAACTATTCAAAGTGTTTGGCACCAGAAGTTACTAAATCCCATCGCTCAAAAACTTTCCTACGTTTTCGGAGACACGAAGAAAAAGTTATAAACAGATTTTTAATTAAACGTAATTGATAATTCACTCAATAATAAAAAAAATGGTGAAACCTTCTTCTGCACCAATGCACTTGGATGAATATTTAAGTTTTTTGGAAAAATCCTTAGATTTCCTTAGATTTTTTCTCTTCCTTAGATTTTCCTTTTCGACCATAGAATTTCCTTAGAAAAGGAAATTTCCTTGAAAATGGAAGCACTGTGTAAAAGACGGACTGGACTGAACTGGACTGGACCGGACTGGACTGGACTGGACCGGGAAAACGCGGACTGAGTCCGTGTTTTACAAATCGCGGACTGAATTTGTAAAACACGGACTGGACTGGACTGGACCGGGAAAACACGGACTGAGTCCGTGTTTTACAAATCGCGAACTAAGATTTGTAAAACGCGGACTCATTTACTGAATGCACTAAGGATGAACGGTCGCAATAAAGTATTGTCTATTCTCATGACAAAGTTCAATGTTTTTACCGAGAAAGTTCAATGTTTTTGATGATCATTTATGGACTTTATGATCATTTGGTGGTTTCAAAGCTTGGATCTGGTTGTTCAACGGGTTAAAATCAGATCAGAACTTGTCAAGTGCTCTTGACAAATATCGAAGATTCTCACGCGAATAGGCAATGTTTTTATCAACGACCTCACCGTTCATCCTGCAAGCGACGGTACATGGACTCAGTCCTGTACTGACTCAGTCTTAAAAGTTTTGGCGGGAATTGCACTCAGTCGTGAGAGTTTTGGCGGGAATTGCGGATATTAATAGGTCGGTCAAGGAATAATCATATCCTGGAGCTAAGGTTGGTAAAAATTACTATTATTTATTTATTGTTTGAAATAAACTGATGAACAGCGTTCAATCTTAGGAGCACGCTCAGCCATGTGGGACTTTGTGCCACTATTGTCGAGGAAACTCGTGCGTATATCAAGTGTGGCCGTTTCATATAAATAGTTGTATGCCTGTATAGATATAGGCTAGCTCTTATAGCAGATACCATTTAGTGTTAATCATAATTAGAAGAAAATAGAGTTAATTCGTTTATTCAGTTGTGTTCGTGGCGAAGAGGGCGTATTAAATAAAGGTGTCTACTCTAATCGAATTTGCCTTTTAAATATTTGTGTTATTAACTTTTATTGTCGTCATACGAGGAAGTTTCTAAAAATCGTTATTCGATTATAGTATTCATTTCGCATATTTCTCGCAAATTTATAGACACCCTTTTACACCCGTTTTCAAAATTACGCGACCTCCCTGAAAAATACTCTTTACTTCAAATGTCAATTTTATGTCAAAAAAACTGCTAAAAATAGCAAACGTAAACAATCTGTCAAAAGACATTTTAAACCGTATTTAATACCAAAACTGAACAAAAATGAGTTAGATACAAGCTCAATACAAACCATCACAACAGAAATATGTGTCGTGAATAACTTTTAAAGTTTGAAAAATTACAATATATCCAACCTCGTCAGGTTGCAATTTATCCTGGAATATAGCTGTCAGTATAAAACATGCGCGCTAGAACGGTGATCAGGGATGCCGGAAGTTGCTGAGGGCAAGGGGTGCAATTGGTTAACAAAAGGGCATACTCCATAACAAAAGGGCACCAATGAAAATGAAAGGGCGTCATGATCCAACATTCGTGTCGACCTCCCTCCCCGTCACCAATTTTTTTCGGACCGAATACAATTATTTAGGCACAATTCCTCCGTAATGCTTCACTAAAAATTCCATAAGTAATGCTTTCCGTTTCACCTTTCGCCAAATGGATAACAACTTTGCCGAATTCCTGACGACTGCGGGGTGGAACACCCCCACACACATCCTCAAGCGACGTTTAATTCTGTCTGCTGTAAAAGTTTTGTGCACCCGATACACCCATAGTCTGCACCCGCACTGCACCCACAAAGTTGAAAATGCAAAAGGCAAGGGGTGCACTTGCACCCGCTGCACCCGTGGTTGCGGCATCCCTGACGGTGATGTTATGATTTTGTTTGTGCTTAAATTTTGCAATAATTCCCACTAAAAAGTATCTTGAAATCATTGTAAGCCTGTTTATATAAAGCATACAAAGCATATACATCGACAAGGAACCGCAAAACTCAAAGTTTAAACTTCGTGTAGTTCGTGACCGAATGACATAAAACTGACATGTCAACTCTAGCATTTTCGTCCTTGATCGCGTAATTTTGAAAACGGGTGAAAACGTTTGAAAAGTCTTCGCCACGAACACAAAATAAACAAATTAACTCTATTTTAAGTCTAATTATGAGTAACACTAAATGGTATCTGCTATAAGAGCTATATCCAGGGGCGAAACTAGCCCCTTTTAATTCGGGGGGTGTCTGCCAATTCCTGTTAAAACATGGCTTAAACCCTTATTTTTGGACCAATATAAATTCTATAAATTCCCTCTGAAAGCCCTGTAAATTACTTAACTCAACATTCTATCATTTAAAATCTTTGATTTATTCAAAACAATAAATAATAGTAATTTTTACCAACCTTAGCTCCAGGATATGATTATTCCTTGACCAACCTATTAATATCCGCAATTCCCGCCAAAACTCTCACGACTGAGTGCAATTCCCGCCAAAACTTTTAAGACTGAGTCAGTACAGGACTGAGTCCATGTACCGTCGCTTGCAGGATGAACGGTGAGGTCGTTGATAAAAATATTGCCTATTCGCGTGAGAATCTTCGATATTTGTCGAGAGTACTTGACAGGTTCTGATCTGATTTTAACCCGTTGAACAACCAGATCCAAGCTTTGAAACCACCAAATGACCATAAATGATCATCAAAAACATTGAACTTTCTCGGTAAAAACATTGAACTTTGTCATGAGAATAGACAATACTTTACTGCGACCGTTCATCCTTAGTGCATTCAGTAAATGAGTCCGCCTTTTACAAATCGCAGCCCGCGATTTGTAAAACACGGACTCAGTCCGCGTTTTACAAATCTTAGTTCGCGATTTGTAAAACACGGACTCAGTCCGTGTTTTCCCGGTCCAGTCCAGTCCAGTCCGTGTTTTACAAATTCAGTCGGCGATTTGTAAAACACGGACTCAGTCCGCGTTTTCCCGGTCCAGTCCAGTCCAGTCAGGTCCAGTCCAGTCCAGTCCGTCTTTTACAACATGCCTCGTGTGAGAATCTTAAGTTTTCTTATTTTGACATAATAGCTATTTTGCAATAAATATATTGATATTAAACTTATTGAATCAATATTTTAAATTCCAGGCCAGTTATACCAAAATTTTTAAGCGCTTGCGCACCATAAAGGCGGATTTCCATTCAGAGCAAAATGTCGCGCGATCAACTTTTTGCGATCACTCTCTTTTGAAATACAAGCAATCAAACACCACGGATCAGGTTCACTGAACGCATTTCAAAAGAAAGTGATCGCAATTAAAAGTTGATCTCGCGACATTTTGCATTGAATGGAAATCAGCCTTAAGTTGCTGCAACCTCGTACCCAGGGTTCTCTTTGTCACAAAGAGGACCCTGGGCACGAGGTTGAAGTTTTTGAGACATGCAACATGTACGCACTGCGTACCTATTTTTATACCTACGTATAGTTTACTGGTCCAAAAGCGAAAAATGTATGGGCAATTTTGTACAAATGAATCTTTAATTATGGTATTTGCACAACATAATATAACAGTTTTCAAAGCGTCGACGTTGTGACTCGAATGCCATCGCTCATTTACAGTGGATTTACCGAGGGTGCTAACAGTCTTGACCTCAGCTACATACAGTGTAGTTTTCCTCATTGGGCCTAAAAGAAACCTGTGGTTCCGGTTTCATATCGTGAAAAAATTAGGGTAGGTAGGTCGGAAATAAAAAAAAATTTTGAATACTTTTTCATGGTTTTGGCGGGGTTTTTCCTGGGCGATTTTCTGTAGAGTCCCGACATCAATATTAACTAGAGATGCGTAGTTCCTACGGACGAATTTAGGCAATTTGGTTCAATAATTTATTGTGACAACAGACGCCATTTTGGCACGCTGTACGAGCAGCCCGCAACCACCCGGAGAAAATAGGGTCGCCCGGTCATAGAAAAAAATAGGGCCGGTCGGGAAACCGGAACCACAGATATTTTATTTTTAGACCTTGGTGTAGCACTGACAATTAAGCCCAGGTCACACTACGCAACGATGACGATACGATAACTTGTAAACACGCGATGATTGGTGAAAAATTATGTTGGTGTCCACACTACAAGGAAAATGATAAAATTAGCGTTTGACGATAACGATTTTAAAATCGCTCATCCGCGCGATTTTTTTTCAGTCGGACGATGACGATAAATTTTTTAATCAAGCGCAAAGATAACCTTTTGGCTTTTTTCATCCCAAAATATGTCGGATGCGTGGAATTTACATGTACAGCTAAAGTTCTTCACGGTTTTGAATACTTTGGCAGGTTTGCTAGTTATTGCTAGAAGGAAAATGTAAGTACGCGAATAGCAAATTTCCGCGTACCTACGTGGTACTTGCCTGAAAACAAAGAAGTACCAGACTATAAATTTGGCGTACCTCCGGTACGTTGGTACGGAATTATCGCACCCTGTTACTGTTGAAGCCATATTTCAATCATGTGATAACAGTGATATACAAATTACGATGGAAATAGAATAAATCATGTCTGATTTCTGGCCATACTTCAAATTAGTAGCGAATATATTAATTATTTAGTCATTTACCACCTGATGAAAAATGAATGGATATATCGTAATTAAACCTGGTTCACACTAGCAATTTAGTCGGCGATTTTTCTGGCAAATGAGCAGTGATAGACCCCTATCTGGAGTACAAAGGATGCCGACAATGACGTCACTTTGCTCAGCCACCACTCTGATGGCAGATTATTTTGTTTTTGTTTTAAATACTTTATTGGATAGTGACCAAACGGTAGGAGTGCGAACGGGACTCGAGGTCCCATGCGAGGCACTCCTCCGATTAAAGATACAACAACAGACAATACATGTAGAATAAAATATACATAACTACACCCTACAGTCATAAATAAACATATGCCACCATGGCCAACACGAAAATCAAAGCTAAGATTTATGATGCTTAAAAATTTAATGATAGCAATAATACCTTGAAATGATATAAGGAACAATTGAATATAAATTTTAAAATAATCAAGCAATAGCATATGTTTATCTCGCACGTTAAACTCTATGACATGAGCAAGTTCGATGTAATGACCACGTACAGGCCATGTCTACGTCGTAACAAGAAATGTTCTTGATAAAAACGTCTGAACATAGTTAGGCTACTTAATTCTGAAGGTTTAGCAGTTCTACACATACGGTTCCAAAGGGGAACGATACGGTTAAAGTACGATGACTGGAATGTACTTGTTAGGCTAGGATTTACACAATTACGAGTACGGCTGTGGCTTACGAATGACACGTAATCAGAAATATTCAAATCATAATATCCATACATAGCTTTAAAAAAGAATGTTAAGTCCTTTATCTCTCTATCGTAAGATAGCGGCAGAAGATTAAGGGCCAACAAACGATCTTTGTATGAGATCTCTCCTACCTTCACTTGAAATATCCATCGTGTGGCACGCCTTACTTTGAATCCTCTCTAGGTAGGTTTTGTTGGTGGACTGAGACGGTGACCAGACTTCTGTAGCATAACCCAGTTGGGATTTCACCTCAGTGGCGTAGCCGAGGGGGGGGCGACCGCCCCCTCACTCAATCGAAAAAAAAAACCATTCTCTGAAAAAAGCTAAATCTGTAGAGAAATTGGTGGTGGTGGGGTGTACACGTTACATCCTCGAAGCTGAAACTGATTAAGTACGTCTCGACTGAGGAAAACGACGATATACTGGAGGAACTTGATTTGTAAAATCTCGTTAAAGCAGTTGTAGAATAAATTTAGTGTAGATTTACATGTATGCATTATCATAGCATGACTATTCTTCTCAGACTTATTCTGTATCGTATAAAAAAGCAACGCAATTTTGAGAGTGCGGAAATGCTGTCTCATAGAACCTGGAATGATTTAAATGCAACATTTCGGATCAAAATCACATTGGGATTTTCTTCCCCCAGCATCACAGAGGGGAAATAAGGTGACACTGACAGGCTCCTCCTGTTTTTCATGGTGACTTTTCCAATTTACTTAATTCTGAGTAGAAAATTAGAAATGTCTGGGAAAATTTATGTCTTCGATGTACTTTATAATCTTCGGAATTCTGCAAGATTTCACCCCCAAAATGCTTGAAATCACATTTCAGGGACTCTAGATTTCAAAATTTTCCCGGGGGTGCATGCCCCCGGACCCCCCTAAATGGTCTCTAGCCTTCGGAGTTCGCTTCGCCCCCCCCCCCCAAAAAAAAAATGAAGGTCTGGCTACGCCACTGACTAAGGATAAGTATAATGTCCTTCGAGCAACGCGATCTGTTAACAAGGGGCACGTTCTCCGTAATAAGCCCAGCATTTTATTTGCCTTGGATACAATTTGAATGATGTGTTGATTCCAAGATAACTTTCTTGTCACAGTAATTCCAAGGTCAACCTCACCATCCACGCCCACCAGTTCAGTTGAACCAAGGTGGTAATTTGTTTCAATCAGGCTTTTTCGGCGTGATATTGTTAGAACTTTACACTTAGATGCGTGGAAGTCAATATTGGATTGCTTGCTCCAATCGTCAGCGTGCGACAATGATTCCTGTAGAAGGTCACAATCCTGGCGTGATCTTGTTGCTTTGTATAGCTTGGGTAGGAGGGAGTCACTGTTGAATGTAATGTGATCAATGAACAAGAGCCTAACCGGAAAGACTCAGGTACACAGATGTTAGAAGGTCAGCGTAAACAGAAAAAAGTGGCTATCTTAGGGGACTCCATGTTGAAATACCTTAATTAATTCGAGAAAATTGCAGCAAGGCCTGGAACAGAAGATTACGATTAAAACATTCTCAGGTGCAAAAATTGAAGATATGAACCACTACGTGAAACCTACCCTATGTACAACACCATACGAGATCATTCTGCACATAGGAACAAACAACCTGAGAAATAATAACCCTGCTGTTGTCATTAACGCTATGGGTAATCTCGCCGACAATATTGCACGACAGAACAAGGATGTCAAAGTTACATTATCTGAAGTTATAACAAGATCAGACGATCACAGCATGGTTGAAAAGGTAAATATTTACAATGAACAATTAGCTAAACTCTGCAAAGAACGCAAATGGCATCTAATTAAAAACAATAATATTAATTCATCTCACTTGAACCCATATGGAGTTCATTTGAATAGAAGGGGAACTGGAGTTTTTGCAAAAAAAACATAAAACAATATTTAGGCGCTAATAAAAGTAAGTACCATTGACTAGAAAATAATATAGAAGCAACGCCCTCAAATGCGATATCTGCACGAACTAATTTAGCTAATCTAACATTAAGCGAAAATGAGATTCCAGATGTTGGCCAATTTATCCTGGGCGATGACCCTTTATCGGAAAGTATAAATAATGACAATAATGTCATTCACGATACACCACTTGATAATTTAAATGAAAATACTATTTGCAATGAGCTTAAAAACTTAAAGGTTTTCGTGTCGGCCATATTAACATCACTTCCCCCACAAAGCACATCGAACAATTAAGATTTTATCTGCACGACAAACCACTTGACATTTAAGTGTAAATGAAACTAGATTAGACCACAGTGTAGATAATAACATACTCCATATAGAAGGATATATAGTATTGTACGCAAAGACCGTTCACGTGAGGGAGGTGGTGTAGCGATATATTTTAGGGATCATCTCAATGTAAAAGAACGTTGTGACTTGGTCCCTGAACATCTAGAAGCAGTTTGTATTGAAGTTAACAAAATTAAATCAAAACCAACAATTGTAACATCCTTATATAGACCACCTAACTCCAGAATTGAGATATTTGATTCTATTGAAAATTTGATTGAAAATTAAACTTAGACGACGAGAATAAGTAAATTATTTTGGTCGGTGATTTTAACTGCAATCTTTATAGCAATGAATCGACTCAATATCACAAACAGGCTTCTGGATATCGCTAATTTATTTCAACTTAAGCAGATAATTACAGAGGCAACACGTATTATGGAGGAAACGCAGACATTGTTGGACTTGTTCTTTACTAATAAGCCAGAAAATATTATTAATTCTGGGGTGGTGCATATGGGTGTCAGTGACCATAGCCTTATTTATGGCTGCAGAAAGATATCATTTTGCAAAACGTCACCAAAAATTGTAGAAACAAGGAATTTTAAGCATTACAAAACATTAGAATTCAAAAGGATCTTTCTATCGCACTTTCGAATTGTGATTGGACCACTGATGATCCAAATGCGCTTTGGAAACAATTTAAGGATAGGTTCAATGAGGTTTCCAACTTACATGCTCCTATTAGGCTAAAAAAGGTCAAAAGTAAATATACCCCCTGGATGAATGGAGAGATATTAAAGTTTATGAACTATCGTGATACGTTAAAGAAGAAAGCAGTTAAAAATAAATCTTCTCGCTTCCATGAGGCCTACAAAACAGCTAGGAACGATGTCAATAGATTGATTAAAAATACGAAAGCTAGTTATTTTCAAGAGGTAATTAGTAATTCAAAAAACAACTCTAAAGAAATGTGGAGAAATATAAACCAACTCATTGGTAAAACCTCTAAAACAACAAATGTAATTTCAGTCAAATCAAATGATCAAATATTTACGAATAAGGATGATATTGCTGAAACTTTTAACGATTACTTTTCAAAAATTGGTACAGACTTATCCAACAGGATTCCACCAAGTAATGAAGGATTTGAAGAATATCTTGATCGGTCGGTTAGTGCTGTTTTTGAGTTCAAATCGGTTTCTAATGATGAAGTTGAAACTGTTTTGAGTAAGCTTAAAGTCTCCAAATCGAGTGGACAAGATAAAAAACCAGTAAAAATTTTAAAAGACTCCAGTGATATATGCGTTTCGTATTTGACATATATATAACTGCTCTCTTCTTTCTGGCATTTTTCCGGATGATTGGAAACTGGCCAAAGTTTCACCTATTTATAAATCGGGGAATAAACAAGAGTGTGGTAATTATCGCCCAATATCTGATTATATCAGTCGTTGCGAAAATATTTGAGAAATTAGTCTGTGGTCAACTCAATTGCTATTTCAAGAAACACCAGATTCTTACAAAATTTCAGTCTGGTTTTAGAAAAGGCCATTCAACTACATCCTCCTTACTCTCTACAACCAACTCTTGGTTAGTAAACATGGATGCTGGCCTTATTAACGGGGTCCTTTTCCTCGATCTCAAAAACGCGTTTGATACGGTTGACCACCAGATCCTTATTAAGAAACTTGAATTATACGGAATCAAAAATAGTGCGTTAGCATGGTTTTCTTCCTATACTTACATGGAAGAACTCAAGTGTGTAGAGTTAATAATATTACATCATCTTCAAAACATATTTCGTGTGGTGTTCCACAAGGGTCTAACCTGGGTCCCCTCCTATTTTTAATTTACATAAATGACTTGCCTAATTGTTTAAATAAATCAAAAGCAGCTATGTATGTTGATGATACTAATTTATCTGTTACTGGAGAAAGTGCAAGTGATATCGAAGTGAGATTGAATACTGAACTTGAAAATGTTCATGAATGGCTAACAGCGAATAAATTAACACTTAATACTGAGAAAACTGAGTACATCATTATCGGTTCGTATAAGAGAATTTCAAATCTTCAAAAAGGAGATGAAATTAAAATTAGGATTGGGGATAATGAAATAAAACGAGTCAAAACTACTAAAAGTCTGGGAATTGTAATTGATGAAAATTTAGCATGGAAAGAAAATATTGACAATCTCAGCGTTAAGGTGTCAAGGCCAATAGGAGTTATTCGCCGAGCTAAAAAATACGTTAAACAAGATGCCTTAAAACTAATGTATAATTCTTTAGTTCTCCCATATTTTGATTATTGCTCCCTTGTTTGGAATAATTGTAGCCAAACACTAAAAACTAAAGTTCAGCGGCTTCAAAATAGAGCGGCAAGAGTAATAACGGGAGATACATACGACATTAGATCAAAAGATGTTCTCTCTAAATTAGGCTGGAATAATCTCGAAGAAAGGCGTAATTCTTAAACTATTTCTTATGTTAATAATGCTCTCCAGAAAAATTGCCCGGAGGGAATAACTGAAATGTTGGCTAAACCAAAAACTAATGCAATGAAAAAGTCGTTCAGTTATGCCGCCGCCAACATCTGGAACTCACAGAGCATTTCAGAAAGAAAGAAAGTAATTAACTTGATTCAATGATTTGATATATAGTGGGTTATGGCGTATTAAATGTATTAGACGTGTAATTATGTATATTGTCCTGTATTGTATTGATATTCAAAAATTGTAATTTTAGCGTAATCGCACGGCCTTTTGAAAAGCAGCATTTTATTTTTCTTAATTTATTATTGCATGTTTACTTATAATAAACTATATGTACGTATATTTTGCTGAAAAGTTACCGTGTATAAAGATTTTTAAATAAGCCACCCCCCTTAAAAGGTTGCCTGAAAGAACTAATAGAGAATTGATCCCGCCCTATTTACATCTGCAGGCTGCAATATTTTGACGGGGAAATTGGCCAATCGCGTAGCAGGATTATTCTGACAACACAAATAATTTTCAGACAAGAAGATATAAATATATTTGTCACGGCTTATAAAACCATAGGCAGCCCAGCAAACATGTGAATGCACTTAAAAATGCATTAAACGCTTAATATAACGCACTTCGTCAATGGACTTTTTTCGGAATTTTCCCATTTCTCAGCAGCCAATAAGCAATAAGCCGATGGTTTTTGCGATGATGACGTTTGTCGGGCAATTTGCATCCAGACTATCTACAGCAAAATTTCAAAATAACTTTTTACTGAAGAAATTTAAGCACTTTTAAACTTTTTCAACTCTAAAAAGAATTAATAAATTTAGAAAAAATGGTGTTTTGTATCTGATTTAATTCTTTTCAGAAACTAGCGCTATTTCTGTTGTTTCAAGCGACTGTATAAATGTGTGTAAACATGTATTTTGTGAAAGAGTTGCCGGCCTTACGATAATATACTATATGAAAATACAATGACGTAAACATCGGAATCTGCATAGACGAAACGGGCGAACTCTATGCGTATTTTTAAGAGTTTTTCGAACGCGCATTGTATGTAAAAACATAAAAAATCAAAGTTTGTTGTAGAAAGAGATGAAAAGGTATGCTATATGAGAAGATAATTATTTTACCGTTTTTGAAATAATTCTAAAGAATTGTAGCTGCATTTGTTTGGAAATATGATGTTTATTTTGGGGACGAATGTTAAAAAGTGCCCAAATTAGGAAATGAACCAAATCACTAAAAGGACCACCTCAAAATTAGTAAGTATACAAAGTTTGAAGACGTTTACATGAACACCCTTCGAATAATAAGCTTTCGAAAATCCCGATATTTACTATGAAATGTACTGGTTATTTACCATTTACATGGAAAACCCGTCCGGTTTGAAATTGACAGATTTGTGCTAATGGTAAGCAAAATTTCGGATAGAAAATCCCATTTGGATTATGCGCTTTCCATTTAGAGTGATTGACAGAAAAGCACTGAAGGGTTGTTTACCATTTACATGGAAAACCCATTCGGTTTGAATTAAATCGCGAAGAGCCTGGAACTGGTGAAAAAATAAAAAAGATGCAAATGGAACAAAATTCACCGGTTGAAACGTTTCAATCGGTAAGAGAGGACAACTTCAAACAAACCGTTTATTCCGGAAAAGTTCCGGTTGGGCCGTCGAAATATGCTTGTTCCATTTACTTTCCTATGGAATCACCGGAATTTCCATGTAAATAGTAAACAACCACTGTAATTTTTGTTTTTTGGACGCGCGTCCCAAAAACAATCATTTAATCGGTAATTTCACAATTTTCGAAAGCTTATTACTCGTAGGGTATTCATGTAAACGTCTTGAAACTTTGTATACTTACTAATTTCGAGCTGGTCTTTTTAGTGATTTGGTTCATTTCTTAATTTGGGCACTTTTTAACACTCGTCCCCAGTCCACTCATCAACTTTGGAATGGCTAATTAGAAGCCAAACTTGAAGCCAGTCCTCAGTCCAGGAAAAGATATCTATCCATATATACCTTCTTTACTCCTTAAATATAGTTACATAAATCTGTGGTTAATGCTCAGCAACGCAACTGGACCCTGTACCTAAAGCGGCGCCTTGAACGAATATATGCCAGATAGTGATCTTTTCAACCATTGTAAAAATGCTTGAAAAAGTAGGAAACTACGAGTATGCACCTCGCAATTAACAAACGAAACACCGAAAAAAAATTTTCCGGAAAAAATTTTGAAATAGGGGCTGCAGGTTCGATTCATTTCTCGCAACTGCTCCTCATCGTTAGGTCTAAAAGTGTGTAGAAATTTACGTTTGAAAATTCCGTCTTCAATCACTAATGTTCATAAACTCAACAGCCACTTCGTACACCAGACAAAAATTGTTTTAATAAATTCTTGATACAAAACAAATTACAAGCTATAAAGAAGGCTGAATCATTGTAAATTACTTCAAAACAAGTCCAATTGAACCAAAAACACTACAAGGTATTTCTACTGAAGCTTCATTGAGCTGTATACTTGCCACCTTGATGTCTAAAATGTCACTAGGTAAATGGTTTAATGCTTTTCACCACTGGCACCTTCATGTCGGCAGTTGTTTGGTAATCAGTTCCCCTGGTCAATTTTTGTGGTGTACCCTGATCGCCTGCCTTTGGGTACACTTGCCAATCGTTGTCCTTACCCACCATAGCAGACCTGGCCCCTTTTGGGAAGTCTTCGAGATCTGCCTGTTCTTCAACGTATTCCTGTTCGAGAGACAAAAGATACATGACAAAATGCATTGAAATTAAATTTCAAACTAGTAATCAGGCTTTCCACATCGAGGTCAACATTCAGTGTAACAAATTCATAGGCAAAATGCCTTCCTAACCAATATATTTAAGGAAAGTAAAGTCTTGTTGCACTAACCCGATTGTCTCCCCCGTAATAATTGAATTCAAACAACATCAACGCCTGCACAGCACTTGGTACATGGAACAAAGAACCGTTGACGTCAGATATATCAACCACTTTTTTATCAGCCGTCGACAAAACCACGTGTTCGTACGGACGTGCGCCAGTTTGGAGACTTTTGTTGTAGTCTGCTGTCCGGTACAAAATCCACTTGCCGCTAATAACCTCAGCCTTTATGTATATGTCCGTGTTTTTCAAATCACCGTAACTTGTGTGAAAAAGCTTGGCATTGCCGTCTGCGTTGTAAAGTTTGATACTCTGCGACATTCTGTGCAAAGAAAGAAAATTAACGCCGACTCTATTAATGCTTTCAGAAGCGTCATACTGTGTCTGTGACGATTTAAACTGATATCATATATAGCACACTTGATGACATACATGAGAAAATTACTCGTTTCTGATTGGCTAAGGGTAGTGCAATTTTATCGAAATACAGTACGTGCCAAAAAAGTACTACTGTCCTAAGTAATGAAATACGTGGCAAGCGTCAAAACAAGGGATATTTTGATTTTAGTTTTTGATTTCTGACAGTTAAAAACTTATTAAGTAGGAATGCATGCCATTCAAATGAGTGAGTAAAATTTTTCGAATGTCTTTCATTATAAATGTAAGCCGAGTACGTGTTTTGCATAAGTAATAGTATGTTTTCTCGTTCAACAAACACTCGTTCTTTTTTTAAAGAGTTCAAACTCCACCCGTTCATCGCACTTGTGCAATTTTGATGGTCCTTGGACAACTCAATCATTCGTAGATCAAGTTGAAATCACCATTGCAAACATAGAGTTCCCTAAGCCAAAAAAATTAGGTTTCTAAAAATCTAGTGTTGCGTACTATGATAATTAGACGTGTAACGTCAGTTATAGTCCCTCTGTAAAATTAGGTATGAATCGAGCTAAGTCTCGCAGTTAAAAAGCATGCAGTAACTATACATATTATGCGAAAACTCTGCAGTGCACAATAAATAAAACTTTCATACTGTATAAAATAATTCTTCTAACTTACTTGCTTTTCAAAGATTTAGTTTTTAGACTCCACTAATGATCAACTCAGCTCTGTTCTGAATCAACTCAGCACTATTCTGATTCAACTCAGTTTCGTTGTGATATATATAGTGAATGCCTACCTGCCGGCATTTCAAAAATCTTTGTCAACACCAGGTTGAAAAAATTTCCCATGACGTACAATAACAACCAAAAATTTCCCATTTACATTAATTAATACATTTCCATTCTTATTAGTTATATTATTTGGCCCTTCCACTGGTTTCGTAGAGTGAAAGGATATTTCCGTTTCAGTTTCGTTGTGATATATATAGTGATTGCCTACCTGCCGGCATTTCAAAATCTTTGTCAACACCACGTTGAAAAAATTTCCCATGACGTACAATAGCAACCAAAAATTTCCCATGACGTACAATAGCAACCAAAAATTTCCCATTTGCACTAATTAATACATTTCTATTCTTATTAGTTGCTGGGCCACAGCTTGCAACGACTCTAGGTTTCGGCACGCATTTGTGTCGGATCTTGGATCGTTAGCCACAAAGTGAACATTACGTCATTAATAAAAAAGAAAAATTACGTCATTACTACTCGTCGCTAATTGTTCAAGATGGCCGCTTACTCCGTGCGAATTTAGTATCAACAAGACGCTCTGTGGAGCGTTAACTCGCTGGGACTACACAACTGACGCACATTACTGTTATGATCTAAAGGCTGATTTCCACTGGCACTGTTGCGTTTTTCGTACGCACGTACACGCACGTAAAACTTTGAATCCTTCTATTTTTAAATATTTTACAAATAAGTTAACAAATTCATACTAAAACTTGCGGAGCAGTAAATTCTGTTGCTTTATTTATTTGGTTATTTTACAAATTTAAAGTTTTACGTGCGTATATTAAGCCTGGTGTGGAAATTAAGCCTGGCCCCGAGCTAAGGGGAAACTTCCGGCGTTTATGCCCACAAGTAAAGTTATATTTTATAGTACGCTACATTCTTCTGTCGGCCGCCAGTTTAAAACGTTCGAAATAAAATATTTTGGGGCTTTTGGGCTCAAAACATTATCAAAATGAAGAGAGAAGTGAGACGAATCCACTGGTGTACGGCCGAAAAAGAGAAAACCAATGATACCAAAGCTAGGTATCAAGGATCAATCAATCAATCAATCAATCAAAAACTTTATTATTGTGTCAAATAAATTCTAGTTTACAAAGAAACTAATTGGGGACACCTACCTATATTAACTACTATTAACTATATAAACAGAATAAATATATAACAAATATCTATAACTAGAAGTTACTATCGCAAAGAAAGTGCTGCCTCACCCCGCCTTCCATCACATAAGCACGTAAAGGCCCATCTATACAATACGACTAGTCATATGCGATTCTTATCCTGGCTTATGTACTCGAATAAATGTGTGTAAAAATGTCAAATTTCAAACTTCCCCATAAACTGATGAACAGGAATAGTGGCATCGGCAATCGTTTTCATACACCAGGGTAAGAATCATATACGACAAGTCGTATTGTGTAGATGGACCTTAAGACACCTGTTCAGCAGGTAGGAAAAGTGCAATTTGAATAGTTACGAAAACACCTTGCACAAAGTTGAAGGTCAGCTAAATGCCTAAATACTCTAATTGTATTGACTTCCATAAATTCCTTACTCTTCAAGAAATTACTTCTTTGAAAATTCCTTCATTCTAAACAAAGATGAAGGACTTTGCAAAAGTCTACAGGTCATGCTATGCAAGTTTTTAATGATTTGCATTATTCAAATAGATGCAGGTTTATTAGCATATCATAACCAGTTGTTATGGCTAGCTTGCATGCCGTACTGAATACTGTACAATATCATATATAACAAATGATAATAATACTTGAATGAATCATTGGATATGTAGAATTTAATAACAATTTAATAACAATTTCATACATAGAAAATACAACCTGTAAGTCAGTTTTTGTCCCTATTATCATTTTAATGGCACCTTCAAGGCTACCCCTACCGCATAACAACTGAACAATCTGCCGATGGAGAGACAAAATCTAGTTTGTTGACATTTTTGTTCATGCCTGGTTCACGCTGGTCGTAAATTATCGGCTATCTATTGTATTCTTTTCCAACAGACAAAGCATTTTACACACCAATGATCACAGACAATGGAAATCCCCGATTCTTACGACCAGTGTGAACCAGGTATTAATAATGTAAGCTTCATATGACACCATTCATTGTATAAACGATTATAATTGTACTCAGTCAGAACTGCAAAACTATATATATAATAAGAAAGAAATTGTGAGCATTATCGAAAAAAGTCAGATATTTTTTCATTCGTATACAATTGTGTGTTCCAATTCGGACATCATACTGCTCATTTGACCTTATGCATAATGATGTCACAAGACTTCATGCCCGTGAGGAATGCTGATCTTAGTAGTCATTGCCCAGGAAAATTAAACAATTAAAAATGGCTACTATCTAAATTTTCCTGGACCGTGATGACTACTAAGACCAGCATTCCTCGCAGGCATCAAGCCTTAGGCTATTTTTGGCGCAACTACCATGTTTCGTGGTTTGATGTGCCTCCGTGCACGTTTCAATATTTTCCAGCCCATGATAATACGTTCTAGTCACAAAAAGTATGAATATAAACAAGTTTGGTCGCTCTTACAATATCGTGAGCTTGGAAACACTGAAAAGTACACGAAAGCACATCAAAACATGAAAAATAATTGAATTAGGCTTTTCACTATAACACGTCGAATGAGCAGTGAAACATTTCCGTTTCCAACGGTAAACACCCCGTTTCAAACGTAAACAAACGCGCGAAAATGTTTGCGGTTTGTGCTTGGACGAAAATTGCTGTAACCTACAGCAATACAACATACAACATATAACATGTCAGGATAACTTACTTTGAAACGACAACCCAAAACGGTGATAGTATTCGATATTTTTTGAAAAACCTCTAAACGATCTCCCTTTCTCACAAAACTTGACTATAAGGCCAGTATTTATACAAAGTATCTCTTTGCTTCGCTCCTGACCTCGTGTTAAAATGCTACAAAGCTTGCTGATCAAAATATTTTTAAACGCCATACTTGGTACGTCGTTCGCAGTCGCTGAACAAAGTGTTCGGCAGTCATCGATTTGCTATTGTGAACTCCTGGGGTATGATAATGCTCCAATGTAAATTCCTTACTGCTACGTCATAATTTGACGTCACAACTGCTGACAAAGACGTGAACGACACAAAATCGAGATACGCTTCAACTTTATAAAACTGTTGGCGGGAAATTCAAATGCGCTAAAACACTTCGTCAAGAATAGGAGGCTGCCTTCGGCAGCAATTAGTGTCGATTAATTGTTGCATAAATAGCAATTAGTACAACTATTGGAAATTAAGTCGGCTATATCCATTTGCCGTATGTGTCTTTTAAACGTATCTAAGGATATAGCCGTTTTTATGGACTTATGGATCTTTGACCAAATGAACGGGCCCATATACCTCAAGCTGTGTTTCCCATACGTAACCGTGTTAAATCTAGGTATGGAGAAATCACTTACATTCCTAAGATTGTAGTTGCTGGTGTTGTGTTTGAAAAGATTACATACATCAGAGGGTGCTAGATTATTGTTCACTTTATACATAACTATGGCTATGTCCTGGAGTCTACGATTGTACAATGTAGGAAGTTTGCCTTTCCTTAAGAGATCTTCATACGAGCTACTCCTATCACAATATATGGCCCTAAGTGCTCGCTCTTGTAATCGCTCTATTTTCCTTCTGTCTGATGACAAACAGTGATGCCATACTATGTGACAGTAGGTTATTTGGGGTAGTATAAAAGCTTTAAAGATTCTTAATTTGGCTTCAGTCGCGGTATCAAGTTCCTGAACCTCATAAGTACCCCCACCTTTTTCCCTCCCTTACTACATATATCTCTAATGTGTTTCACAAACTTTAATTCATCGTCTATAGCAATCCCTAATAGGTTTATGATTGAAGTTGAACGTATATTAGCGTCTATCATTTCAATGTTTATTTCTTTCTTCTTATTTCTCGGTCCTAAACTCATGACTTGGAATTTGTCGTGGTTACACTTTTATAATTCAAACGTACTGCACTTTTATAATTTGAGCGATTTGTCAACAAATAATACAATTTCGCTTGGCTTTCAAAGACAAAGTCAGAGGCCATAAATCGCTAGAATACTGCTGTCAGTTGTTTAGTAATACATTTGACATCCGTAGGTACAATTTCTCATCCGTAACTGTACAATTTCTTACGCTGAATCGAACGGTGGTATTTTTATTCTTATGCGCCATTAATTAGGCAATACAAATACAAGGTCAAGGACAAACGTACTGCGAGTGATTTGATGTCAACAAAACAATTTCGCTTGACTTTCAAAGGCCATAAATCGCTAGAATACTGCTGTTTAGTAATACATTTGACATCCGTAAGTACAATTTCTTACGCTGAATCGAACGGTGGTATTTTTATCCTTATTGCGCCATTTATATTAAGAGGCATTACAAATATAATATGTTTCGCACTGAGTACACTACTCAGACAGTTTTCACGGACTGTTGTTCGATAAATTTTATATTGATATGACACCAATATGCTTCTCATAAAGTAGTTATAATTTAAACTGCACAACGTAGTTTTAATAAATAACCTTTTATATTCAGATTCAGTATATTATGATCGTGCACGGGAATTCAACGATCCAAATTTCGAATTTTCAGAGTCGTGCACCAAGAAAAACGCATTAAATAAACTAGCATGAATGTCCAGAGTTAGACACAAAGCAAAATCCATAGAAAACAGGTACAATTCGGCCAAAATTTTCACGAAATGGGGCCCGGAATTGTTTCAAACATTTTACCCACTCCACGAAAGGCCCCGCCATTTTGAAAAGGATCAAGCAGCTCATTAATATTCTATTTTGTGGCTATCAACGACGATCGGAAATCTGACATTCACCATGCGTGCCGAAACCTATACTCGTCTGAGGCACAGGTGCCCCAGCGAGTAATTAGCCTTTCTCACGCCGCCATTAATTTTTGGGGTACTGCCTTTTCCAAATCTGAGATTGTACGCAGTGAATAAGGGATTTGTATCACTATAATTGTGAGTATAATCATTATAAGTTAATTTACATTTTAATATTTGAAAAAATGTTTTCACATCGCATAGAGTTTTCACGTCGTTTTCAAAAAAGTACCCCAAAAATGGCGAACTTGGCCTTCGTGAGAAAGGCTAATTCCATCGATTTTGTACATATTTTTTTTTATTTTTCCGATGAAACTTGAACGTTTTCCGATGAACCAGACTTTATAAAGCGAAACTAGTCATTTTATGATGTGAGTAAACTTGGAGGGCTACAAGCTTGAAATAGTGGTAATAATATTCGCAAACTGCTATTTATTTGGATGCTTTTCTCTACGGCTCTTGATGCAAATAATCCTGATACGGATAGGCGGATCAAAAGAACATGGTGTAGCCTAACAAGACCGAAATACGACAAATACAATTATTTTTACCACGGTGATCATCATTCATCACTACTTGTGTGAAATTTAAACTTTGCCGCTAGGTGTCAGAGTTGTAAATCTGTAATATTTCAGTCATTTCATGATCAATGTATTGTGTTTCTAACGGGGAAATATTGGGGCCACAGTAATAGACTCTTTCAAGGCATTTTTTAATACCATGGACTTGTGGGGCATTTTCCCCACTAGGCCCCTTCCTCTGCCCCACCACTGAAGAAGAAAAATGGCCTATTGCCCCAAAGCCAGGGCCCTAGGACCTGTATTGAGTGAACAAGTTTAACATTGAAAATAAGTTAAAAACAAAATTTGTTGGTGAGCATACTTAAACTTATATTGTGTTTGAAAGTTTAGCATGCAATTTATTACAAATTTCAGCATTAAAACTTTGTTTTGAGAAGCTCGCGATTTTTTTAAAAATGTGTTCCCAAATTAAAAAAATTTCCTGGGGGACATGCCCCCAGCTTTAACCCCCCTAATCAACTTGTGCCTGCGGAACTCTGCTCACACATTCGGCGATGCAAATTTTTTTCCCTTAGATAGTCGGACTCCTCGTTGATGTCATTGATAGCCAGACGCATCATTGATCCGCGTCCATGCAGGTCTCTGTGCGTTATCGATTGATCCCTTCGTACCTTGCGTAACCCACTGGTACACCATATATCTATCACTCCATGTTGTTCTTCTTCGACCACATGTAAAAAGGTGGATTATTTGCTTTGCGATGCCATAGTAAATCTACAAACTTGTTTTTTTCTGGTTCTGTGAATACTCAAGAATTGTTATTGCGAGTTAAAACTATATATCATCCCAATTGAAGAGAGGGACGTATTGCAGAATACCCGCCCACTAGTACTAGTAATATCATATCATGTAGCCTGGCCACTATTTCACTGGATACGTATATACTAGTATCCAGATTTTATTGCTTCCTATTCAGATCTTATTATTTGTTCAGAATTATGGAATCAAAAACAATGAAACTTACAAAGAGTTACAAAAGCAAAAAAAAGCAAGTGCGAATGGCGAAATATATGACTTAATAAAATATGTCAGATGTGATCACCACACAAGATATGAAGCCACAATGTGTCCTGCTCAGATTTTGGCATCTGAACCAACCATATTTTGAAATTACCAATTGCGCGTGCAAGACACACTGGGAAGCGCATCTAATATTAAGAAGAGTATCCGCTGAATGTTTTCATTAAGGGTGCGTGTTAACGATGTGTCCGACTATCAATAAGGAGTCCAACTGTCTATGGAAACAAGTTACTTTTTGGCGATCACATACTATGCCGGGGGGAAGGCAAGGAAAATGGGCCCTTTGGCAGTTTTGCCCCACCACTGAAGAATCCTTAAAAAATGCACTGGACTCTTTCAAGGTCAAGATGCCATAATGAAACACAATAGTGCAAGGGCTGCAAACACAATTAATGGAATTCCCTATAGGTAAATTTGCAAGGGGTATAAATATAAACACAATGGTGAAACTACTGAACAATATCAAACTATCAAATCATTTATGTATTGATACGAGAATTTGTGCGACTAATCGACATTGCCGAAATACATACTTGTTAAATGTTGGGTAAAATTTGGATAAATATTAGATGAGAAATTATACCGTAGAGTAAACTGAATGGGGTTATATATTGTTATTGTTCATAATAGTCATAATAGTTCATAGTTTGTATGTACATGATTTTTGTAGGAGCTATATTTCACCCACCTAGTCCCACTTAGCCTGCGAACAGGCTCTGAAGAGGCTAAGTCCCACTAGTCTGCAGATCATCGGTCAGAATAGAAGCGTTGAGAATACAAATTGGATAAATTTAAAGGCACAGTTCAGCCGTTTGAATGATGGTGTTTGAGGTGCATTTCAGCCCTTTTAATTGAAAAACACTAACTAGGAAAATGCATAAATCAAGATCAGCAAACATTATGCATAAATCAAGATCAGCAAACTCAATGTTTTTAACAATAAAACTGTTTTATTTAGCACTAGTTTTTGAGTGAACTACATCTAAATCCAGAGATCTAAATCAACTTGTTTCACTGGTTTCACAGGGTCTCACCTCTGCCACGCCCCCAAACATCTGCTGCGGCGAGACCCTGTTCGAGTATGGTCACGTGACATCCCAGATTTTGGGATGTAGCGTAATTTGTCGTTAGGGTGGGTTAAGACACGTGATCGTGAAACGGCTTTTTTTTTCGTTGTGAAAGGTGATCCATACCCCCCCCCCCCTTTCCCACCTTCTTACATTAATGCGCGAATCCAAACATTAAATTATAAAAACAGGCCATATTT